TCGTTATTTCATTGAATCCCTATACTATTATGAAGATTACAATTCAAAAAAGGCTTTTTGTTACTTAACGATAGATCGACTATGAAAAAATCTGATTGGGAACTTTCAAGAGTATCTTTATCAGGTCAAAAAGATTATGAAAAACTGGATCATACTTACGAGCGAATCGTTGTCTTAGTTTCAAGTAGATCAAGTGTTTCTTGTTGGAAGAATCAAATTCCACGCGTTGCACATTGAAGCAGACACCTGGAGTTATAAGTTCTTCTTCTTCCATAGGGTATTCCGATATTGGACTGAGATCGACGGTAAAAGCTCTTTGTACTTCCATGATAAACAAGACGTTTGCGCCATGAAAATTTTCTGCCCATTTACGGTTTCGACTGCATGATGTAAATGCTTGAAATGAGCGATATTCATTAGGATGCTTACACAAGTCTTGATAGGTGGCGATCTGCTCCGGAGTCAGTTTGGTACCTCGATAAAGCACTATGCCTCTGTTTAGTTTATTGTTGAATGGATTATCCCACAAGAGCAAGCAAAAGGGTCCCAGTGTGTGAATTTTACTTCGCCAGATCTGCTCATGCTCTTCACTGCCCAATAATCTCATAGCTTCGTTTAATTTTTTGTACAAAAAATCTTCCATAGAATACAGGCGAGCACAGCATTTCCAAATTTCCTGGATTTCTTTATTTTGCTGCGCCATCAATTGCTGCGCCATTTCCACAGCCACACGTCGTTTTCCTATTAATTTGCCTTCTTCGATAATACCAAGAGCAGCTTTCTCAACAATCATCGGCACGATTGTTTTGTCTTTTGAAGGCAATTGGTTCACTTTAAGGCTTAGACTTTTTTTCACCTCTGTTATGAAGGGTGAGACCCAGCCATACTGTCCTCCAAAAGGACGCTTTGGAGAAATCGGATCGAACATGAAGCGTTCTTCTCGCAAACGTTTATCTGCTTTCTTGTGCTCGAGTCGTTTGAGGGGCCTTTGCTTTTCCTTGTCGTCGTCGGAAATTCGGACAAGATGTTTAAAGTCAATACGATATCCGTCCAATATGACATGAGTTTGATTAGTCGAATATGCTTTTTCAATAATGATATTTTCTACATCCGAATAATGGCTCCATTCGGGTTTCTGGGTCTTCGACCATGAATCTGGGTTCGATTGCCACATCCATTCGACATATGTTGAAGGATCAGTAGTTGCTGACGTCTTTGTACTCATGTCTATTGTTTTTTCTGTTGGAGATGAGAGCAATATCCGTTCTTTTTCAAGCACTCAGCTGATATCTTTCTCAATCTGAAACGAAAAAAAGAATAGAATAGTCTTACGTGGTGCATGGAATTTCTGTTTCTAAAGCAGTTCACAATATCACATCATTCTTCTGTATAGCCAAGCTGAGAAAAAGTACTTGCGTTCGTCGTTGGTGTAGACAGAGTGTATGTGGGATGTGGCTCTGACTCTAGTTTTGGAGTGTGAGAGTCATTGTGAGCTTGAATGTTGCCGTTCCTTCTCAACCAGACTCACACCCACCACATCCGCACCTCACCCATCCAACAAGGATGAAAAAGGTGACGAAGCTAATCATTTGAAATACGTACAACATCATGAGCTGGATATGAATTGAAATATAAAATATGTAATTATATGATGGTTGTAAGCAAGTGCCTCAACCGAATCCCTAATTGATATGCATAGAAATATTGGTCGACTCAGGTAACGCTGGTCCTTGGCTTCAATTTCATGTTGACTTCAATCATTAATAATAGTAGAACAATATTAGTGCTCTATCTATACCTATATATCAGTCTTTAAATGCTACGTCTTCATTTTCATATCATACTAATAAATAACTTACTACAGTTCAACAGTTTTAACTGAATTGTGGTGAAAATTTCAAGGACGCAATGCAGTCGATTTCGGTTGTGTTGTGTTTATAGCATCGTATTTTTTTCTCTTCAAAGATTTGTTTGTTGCTTTTTGAAGGCAGTAATACTTTTCTTTTCTTATCTATCATTTTTTTTCTGTTTTATGGATATTTTTCAACTAAGGACTTTGCTGATAACGGTTACACTTATCAAGAGTAAAAGATTAAAACTGCTAAAGACACAATGAATGTATTCTACGAAAGCAAAAAGTTCATATTCGGGATTCTAGCTTCATTTCCAATAGAACAGAAAAAGTAATATTTATTTTTGCACAGTGTGGTGTGTGGGAGCGAGTAGCGGATGATGTGGCAGTCGTTGTATATAAGTTTCGATCTGATTATATGAAGTTGAGTGGATGAGATTAAGAATTATTTCCAAGCATTGACCAAACCACATTGGTACCTGAAACTTTTCATCGTCATCTAGAGGAATGTGTGTGTGTGTGAGTACAGATGTAGGTGTGGGTTTGTGAGTACAGATATGTGTATGGTTGTATGAGTACCGGTGTGAGTGTGGATGTGGGTGTGCACTGTAAAAAAAATCCGCGGAATAATAAACGTTTATAGGATTTATTAAAGTGCAACATATAAGAAACCCTTTTCTACCGTTTATGAAAGGTTCATAAACCCTTCTAGAAACCCTTCAAAAATGGATGATTAAGGGGCTTATGAACTTCAAATACTCTGCCGAAAAGGTTTATCAAAGGGTGGATAAGATTAATAAACTCTTAAAGGATTCCTTATACGTTGTACTTTCATAAACCCCTTGTAAGAGTTCTTGATAATCATAAATCTGCTCATTAGTCTTCAAAACCCTCTCTGAAAGGGTTGACGAAAATAGTGTGCCCGCGACCAATATTTTGAATCGATATTTGGAAGTGTTCATAGGCATTATCAACTGTTTCTAGGGTTTATTATAAGATTTATCAAAGCGATTATTGATTTCATCATCTGTCTATAGGGTTCATGATAAGGTATGCTAATGGGACGATTGATCTGAATCATCATCTTTAGGGTTTCTGGTAAGATATACGGAGTGATTCATGAGTACTATTAACTGCTTCGAGTGGTTGATGAATGGCTGAATAGAAGATCTCTCGCCATCATCAATGATAAACTCACTCACATGAAAAACATGCGGAAACAATTAATAATTTTCATTATTATTCGATTCATAGTCGATAACTAGAGGGTGTAAAACTTACGGAATACCGACAGAAACACTTATCTGGTTTTAGCTCTACGTTGAAGCTTCATAATCAATAGAAATCCCACTTAATAATCTAAATAATCCGATCTTAACTAGTGCGTAAAGGAGCGAAAGTAGGAAAGCTGAAGATTGTTCCATTAGTTAAGCTAAATCCAGCAAGAAAAAACCAAATAAAGAAATCAAAATAGATTGAAACGAATTATATGAATCAACTTCTAGAACCATCGTTCGAAGACAAAGAGAACAATAAAATGACAAGAGAAGTAAACAAATAAAAGCAATAAGTCTAATCAGCTGCTGGAAATAAATTCGCGATGATCCTGGAAATTAATCAATCTGACTAAAACATCTTGAAGGGTTTCTTGGCGATCCCATCAGAACTTACTGCATGATCGTCTATTAGAGCATAAAAGTCCATGATGATTTTATGAGATATTCTATGATCAAATGTTTCAAACTGAAAACCGGTAAATCTGGTGAAATCTTACAGTAAGATTCTTATATGGTCCTTTTCATGACCTTATAAGACTCATCTAAGAGTTTATAAAATCTTGAAAATCATTAAATCCTTGAATTTTCAGTAGCATTTCAACCACCACTCGTCCGAGTCAGCGCTACTGGTTTATCCTACTTCCGAGTGTGGGTTTGGATGTAGCTTTGGAAGTGGACGAGGGTAAAAGGGGTATCTACGTGTGGATGGGTATCCGCTTATGCACGCCCATACCCACAGTTACACCTACACACCACATCCACGCGGACACACCTCACTTCACCCACATCCACATCCAAACATGGAATTTGAATGCAGTATTCATTGATATTTGATGTAAATTGGCCAATTGTACATGATGAGTTTATAAGATATAGCAGATAAGCTTATCAAATCATTGGCTATCTATCATCCATCGATACTTTCATCAGCACATGCAACTGACGGAAAAAAATTTGAATCAAAAACGCAATTAACTGCGATTTTTTCGTAGTGATTGCCGTTTCTTCTGAATGGATCGCAGTATCATAAAAAGACACCGGTTAGCCGTGATTCGATACACCTCAAATATAACTAACCGCGGTGTGCTCAAATAAGACCGAGGCACTTTCACAGCTGAAAAACGCGATTTCAAAAACATTCAGAATGGTAAGAATGAGTCGTAGAATTTATAACCACAATTTTCCTCGGCTTTTTCATACCACAAGATCGTTCTCATAAACTGCGACCTCTGAATACTATTCAAAGTGACGGTTAGTCAAATCACGATATTTACATTTCAAATCTAGCTTTTTCTACACCATACTACCTCCCCATAATCCTGCACCGCAAGTTTTTTAGATGGAATTATGGTTTGAAAGAATAGCATTTTTAAATACAAAGCTTTTTCATGAAATAAGCGGCTGTGTTCTCTTCTGTCCTAAGAAATCGCATTCTTACGATAAAAATATTTTACGATTTGTAGATTAATTGTGATGATCTAATTGGATCAAATCGCAATGCAGAGATTGATATAAATGGGTATCTTCCCATTGCATCGACACGCCCTTAATTAATCCCGTTTCGTCGACAAGACCTTTTTCCCTTTTCATCGACACATTGTTATTGAATAGTTTCAGAACTATACTGAAGAGGTCTTGCCCTGGATGAAGAAATAAAGTAAGAAATTACGACACTATTCAAATTTTTCGAACGTAATATTATCTTCAGTAGAAATGCTAGGAAAACGCATTCGATTAGTGTACATGACTGTTTTTTATATATAAGATTAGTCATACGGATAATAACAAGGGAAACATAGTGTCTTTGTTTCTGAATGAATATATATGTGCGTGATTTCGACGCAACATGTATTTCGATAAAGATGTACACGATGGTTGAGACGACAAAAGGGAAGCAATGCTTATTATTCGATAAATATCGTTATCTTTGCGATCCTATTCGTAACACCAGAACATATTGGCGATGTGAACAACATATTAATTGTTCAAGACGTTCTAAACAAAATGGTGAAGAGGCACCTGTTTTAACATCACCACACAACCATGATCCACAAAAAGAAGCAAATGATACAGCACAGTTCAAAACAGATTTAAAACATCGTATTCGTGAAGAACAAGCACCGTTAACACAAATATATTGGTCTGAATTAATCAAACGATACACAAGTAATCCAGATGATGTGGCTACATTACCACTATTTCATCAATTAAAAAATACTCTTTATCGAACGAAAAACGAACATTATCCACTACTGCCCAGGTCGATCAATGAAGTATGTGTTGAAGGTATGTTAGATAATGACGAAAATGCGTGAACTTCTCTTAATTAATATTTTCGGTTTTTAGGTAAATGGTGCTTGTCACTAGATAACGAGGATTTTATCGTTATCGATCATCACAATCCTCGATATTTGACTTTTGGTACATTACATTCATTAAAAACACTATGTGAATCTGATCATATCTTCCTAGATGGTACTTTTAAATCATGTCCGTCACCATTTGCACAACTGTACTCCATTCATAGTTATTCATCGATCTTGAATGGTACTTTTCCTGTTCTATATTCTCTACTACCAAACAAAACGAAAAATATTTACACATTATTTTCTAATGAATTAAGAACTGCTGCTGTTAAATATGATTTGGTTCTTAATCCAAAATTCATCACCATCGATTTCGAACAAAGTGCTATTGGTGCATTAAAAAATATTTTCCCCAATACGACAATTAAAGGTTGTAATTTCCATTACAACCAGTGCATTTTTAAAAAGATTCAAGATTTAGGTTTACAAAAGGATTATAATGATTCATTAGATGATGATTCAACAAGTGTTAAATGTTTAGTTCAACAAACTGGAGCATCAGCGTTCATGCCTATTTCTCAAATAGATGAATTATGATGTACAATTATGGGCAAGTTCGAACATATACCACGTTCTCAAGATTTCTTTGATTATTATACAGATACTTGGGTTGACGAAGGGTGTTTATTTCCCAGACATCTTTGGAATTATTACAATTTCAATGGTCCTAGGACTAACAATGGATTGGAAGGCTGGCGTCATCGGCTTAATTCAAATATTGTCACTTCCACACCAAATATATACGTTGTTATTGATGAATTAAAAAATGATTATGCATTCAACATGGCTACGACCAGACAACTTGAAAATAACACGAAAAAGCATCCACGAAAGAAACAATTCATGATTCAAAATCAAGGAATTCTTGATTTAATGAACTGCTATGAAAAAGGTTCTTTGTCATTACATGATTATTTCATCAAAATTAGTAAAACAATTGGTAAAAAATAGTAATCGTGTTCTATTTTCACTTTCGTTTGAACTATTGAATTGTGTTATTATTTCTGTTATCACTATTGGTTTCTTTGATAAAATATGTTTATTTCCTTTACCAATTACTGTTGAATAAAAAGTGTCGATGAAAAGGGAAAAAAATCTTGTCGAGGAAAAGGGAAAATAAAATATGTCGACGAAAAGGGAAAAATAATATGTCGACGAAACGGGATAAAAAATTATGTCGACGAAAAGGGAAAATTAACTAATTACTCTTAATTTGTCGACGAAATGGGACTGAACCATCATTGACATATCTGATTGACTTAAATTATATAAAACATTAAAATCTTATCAATCTTTTCCTTATATTGATTTAGTTTTACAAACTATCGATGATTTATATGTATTACTTGATAGATTTGTACCTAATATAGAAAAAATGATTATTCAAATACACCAATCATGAAAACTCTGTAAGTATTTTTCTAATTATCGACGCAATAGATCGCATTCTACAGATTTTTGTCGACATTTTTGAATTAACACCTTGCAATAAGAAAAATTCTATCGTATGAAAAAATTCCACTACTAATAATAATAGTGACAGATCTACAAAAGATAGAACACTTGTCCTTCTCTCCTGAAAATTTTTTCGATTGGTATCTTCATCTCCTTTTTCGTTAAAGTGTTTCTCTTTTATCAACATTGTAGATCTATCATTGTTCCATTTCTTGTTCAAGTGATACTCATTCCAAACGTATTTTGCTTTTATATTCTACCTCGCCTTCGGGATAAGACTTATTCTGAGCCCGTAATGAGCCCATAAAAGAGCCCATATCGTTTGATTTGAGCCTTGCCAAAAATATTCAGACCCAAAAAAACAAGTTTCTCCTCTTTTGAGCCCGTATATAAAATGAATCCGGTTATCCATTGCTTTGAGCCCACTAAAGTTTATTTATTATGAAAAACAGGAAAATATCATGATTAAAAATAATGTTTGCATTAACTTGTAGCAGATTAGATAATTGAGCAGTAGAAATGAATTTACATGTTGCAATAAATATAAATAATTCATCACATGAATTTACATTGTCATCACGTATTTCTAAACTGATTCTAATAAAACAAGCTCGTAAGATTTTTCTTATTAAATATAACGTACTAAAAAACTAAGCTGATCTTAATTAATCTGTTGTACCTATTACTTCAATAAACTCAATGGCCCAATCTTCAATTTGTCATCTAACTGTTGGACGTCGTTTAAGTAATGAAAGAGAAATCTCAATTCTTGCTCATCAATTTTCTAATGTTAAGTATTTACGACTATTATTTTCATTCGAAGAATCTTCATATATTCCTTGTTTTCAGACATTATTTAGTATTGATAATAATATTAATGCGAATCATTGTTTTCGGTCTCCATTTGTAAACTTTTCAACTGACTTTTATAACGAATTAAATTTAATTATGAATTACAATGACGTTCAACATTAGCTTATTCAAAATACAGATATTAAATTTGTTAAATCTTGATGTTATGTTGATTGTTTTAATTCAAACATTTATGACTAGAAGAAGCCTAAAAGGTTTCGTCCGCATACGCTGTCCTTCATAAGTTACGAATGTTCTCTCCTATTTTCTGTCTCAGGCAAGACATATATAAAAACATACAGCTAAGACATTTTGCTCATAGATAGATCTTATGGTCACTAGAATATCACAAAAAAAACTACAGTCTAAAAGAATGTTTTCTTCATGAGAGATTGGATGTCAAAAAAAAGCGATAGGCGTCACAAGGACTCTTCTGAATATCAAGTGTCTTCAAAATGTACTGTCTCGAGAAGGAAACATTCATTTTGGACAGAAAAAATCTGGATATTCTAATGATCATAAGATCTATCTATGAGCATAATTTCATAACTACATGTTTTTATATATGCCTTGCTTGAGATAGAAAATAGAGGAAAGCGATCGTAACTCAAGACGAACAGCGTATGTGGACAAATCCTTTTAGACTTCTTCTAGTCTCACTGAGACCTACTTTTGAGCAAAAATATTGACTTAATCGGTGTATCACACTTGAAAATCTTCCTTCATCGGATGATAACCAATAGATTTGTTAATAAACGAATTTATTGTAATAAAGTATTGTATACAACAGATCATATTTGATCTAGGCTGGTTTTCGATTATGAATTCATTCGACAAAAATGACTAACTCCTTTGATTTGTCTCTTTTTGCAAATACAAGACAATACTCACATTGTAATTTCTACCCAGCAGAAAATTATAAAGTCAAAAAAGTACTAAGCAAGTCTGGAACAGATTCGTATTCATGTAAATGTTCATTTCGAGTAATTAGCTCCAGTTTCGTGTAAAAAATAGCACCATCTGATTTGAAAGATCAGTCTTTATTTAGAGAAATTTTCTGAGAATTTCCAAGCGGATGTAATCAAATCATTCTCAAATTCAACAATAGTTCAATAGTTTTCTATTATAAACAAATTTTTCTTTCATTGGCTAAACTTGATAAGAATTCAGTAGATAATCCGTATTTTCTCCTATCAATGTTTTCTTTTTCAGATAATGTCCAGTATTCAACAAATGTTCTGGTCACATTTTTAAAAAATTAGAAGGCAATGAAATACTGTTCTGTCTATAATCCTACAGGACAAACTTTTTTCAAGTCCCAAATCCCATTTTATTTTCCTAATGGTCCGCACTGGAAATTTGCAGGACTGTCTCACAGCACTTTAATTCTATCACATATGTATCACTGAAAGGATAGCATGCTTTTTGAGTCAGAAGAGCTCTTGTATTGAAAACAAAATGAATGTGATATTCATCGTCGGTGTTACTCATATACTATACGTGAAAAAAGTTCATAGGTGAAAATGATATTGGTCATCTATTCGTGTTCAATCTTATAATAGTAGAATATATAATATTTTCTAAATGTAAAATAGACTAGTCTAAACATTTTATTAATTTATGTTTGACTAAGAGTAAAGAAAAGTCATCTCATTCATCTATCTATTTAAAGCTACTTAAACTTTATATGTAATAACATTTACACAAAATAAAAGAGTACATAAACAAGTAGATCATTATGAAGGAAAAATTAAGTTCTTTTCTAAACATGTGTATAAGTTGTCCGAGAAAATGCGTTGAGATAAAACAAGATAGGAAGCTAGAAAAACAATACATGTTTCAATCAATTCTTTCAGTTCGTCAAATTCGTTCAATGGAAAAAGAAAAACTAGGATACAGGCATATATAGCTCAACCGAGTTTCTGGTTTCCGCCTAATACTCTATTTCAATCAAGTTGACACTGTATCATAATCTTTGCTTCATACAGATCGTCTCTTGTATGTTCATTGAAAAACAGCTGAAAAAGAATGCTTAAGCAATAAATTAAAATCAATAAATAAATTCACTTGTTATCTTAGGATTGTTTTTGTCAGAATATTGGAATTATTTCATATGAAAAGTTCACATTCAACAATTCACAAAGTGAATGAAAGAAAATTATTTGAAATATGAATAAATAATTCTCAAAAACTTGTTAAGTACCGTTTTATTGTACTATCAACAAGTTGTGGACTATATATGAATAAAAGTGATGACTCAGTGAAACACTTCCTTGTTGAGCAAAATCCTTCTATCTACAATCAACAAAATGAAAGTGCTAGAAAAAAACTCGAACTAATTGATAAAAGCTGTTAGCGCAATCTCTTGCGGGATTAAAAATGTGAAACACGATGTAGTTGTTGTAGCTAGTCACACGAATATGGTTTTCTTTGATATACCGTGGGACCCATTTATTCGTCATTTCTTATTTAATTCTCTAGAATTACAAGAAGGAAGCAATTGATATATTCTTATGAGATTCTAGTGATATATAATCGTAAATCATGTATCACAAGGTCTGCCATGGTCTGTGATGAGTATAGAGTTGCTGTGTCACGGTCTGTGGGGGGGGGGGGGGGGGGGGCAATCTTTGACACTAGATACTTAACCCACGCTTGCTGATGTGTCTTAAAAGAGAAAAAAGATAGTTAGTAAGT